GAGGACTCGACGGCGTGGTCAAGACTTGAGGAGCTTGACCCGCTCACGAGAGAGGATTTCGCTTGGATACCTCTACCCTCGACCAGAAAATTGCCAAGGCCGCATTGCAACGCCTTGATGGCAAATCTACGCTTCTACTTGCACACTGCAGTACCAGCTCCGTTGACGGACGACGGGGTAGCGGTTGCCGATCTCCGCTCCTAACTTGCGAAGATCGACCGCGAGCACGCCACCCAAAGGTACGCCGAAACCGACGCACCTTTGCTCTATATCCGCATTCAAATCGGAAAGGCAACCTGTAGTGCCTTGATTGATTGCGGAGCGTCTCGCAACTTYATGAGYCAAGCCTTTATGGCCCGCGCAGGTCTTGGCCCGCGCGTTCGAAGRAAGACGCAACCTACGCAAGTTACACTCGCGGACGGCCGCACGCAAAAGTCAATTGACCGATGCGTTGACGGCGTTCCGGTCTACTTTGCTCCACTTGCGTGCGAGCCGGTGTCTTTTGACATCCTCGACACCAAGTTCCACATGATTCTAGGCATGTCTTGGTTGCGTAGCGCYGATCATCCGGTGAACTTCCATGACCGAACCGTTCACATTCGTGATTGGAACTGAGTGTTAGTCCCATGTACGATCGCGACCCCTCACACTTCGATTGCTTGTCACGTGGTTTCCGTTGCGAGAATTCGCGACGCCATTGCTCGGAATGACGTCGAGGAGATGGGCCTTGTATTCTTGCATGCTCTCCCCTCGCCGGACGGACCAGCCGCGTCACCGCCGGACCCACGCATTTCTCACCTCTTGGACGAGTATAGAGACGTCTTCGAGGCTCCCACCGGAACGGTTTTGGATCGGCCCATACGTCACGGAATCACTCTCGAGGCTGGCACCGCCCCTCCGCGTGGATGTATCTACCGCATGAGCGAAGAGGAACTCGGGGTGCTTCGCGCACAACTCGATGATCTTCTCGACAAGGGCTGGATTCGCCCTAGTTGCTCGYCATACGGTGCACCTGTTCTCTTCGTCCGGAAGAAGAACAAAGACCTACGGTTATGCATCGACTATCGAAAACTGAACGCACAAACCGTAAAGAACGCCGGCCCTCTCCCTCGGATTGATGATCTCCTTGAGCGTTTAGGCGGCGCGACGTACTTCTCGAAGTTGGACTTGAAGTCAGGTTACCACCAGATTGAAATCCAGCCTCAAGACCGGTACAAGACCGCGTTCAAGACGCGGTACGGGCATTTTGAGTGGGTTGTCATGCCCTTTGGCCTCACCAATGCCCCCGCAACGTTTCAAGCAGCGATGACGACTGAGTTTCGCGACTTGCTCGATCGCAGCGTCCTCACCTACCTTGATGATATCTTGGTTTATAGTAGGACGTTGGACGAGCACATCG